GTGGAAGCCCGCGGTTGAGGGGGGCCGACGACCCGGCCGGGGTCCGGGGCAGGGCCCAGGCGTCTTTGCCAGCTGTGCGGGCTTCACCTGCGGACCACGTGGTGTTTGTTTTTCGTGTTTGTGTGTAAGACTTCTGAAATGGTTTGTGCAGCGCAGTGGCGCGGAAGAGGACAGTGGCGGTCGTCGAAAGTGCAGTGACCATCCTGCTTTTCGCCCGACTTTAGAATATTACCCGGCCGGGGTCCGGGGCAGGGCCCAGGCGTCTTTGCCAGCTGTGCGGGCTTCACCTGCGGACCACGTGGTGTTTGTTTTTCGTGTTTGTGTGTAAGACTTCTGAAATGGTTTGTGCAGCGCAGTGGCGCGGAAGAGGACAGTGGCGGTCGTCGAAAGTGCAGTGACCATCCTGCTTTTCGCCCGACTTTAGAATATTAAGACCTTTCTAGGGCTCAGTTGTGTGTAACAATTCTGAATTATTTTGAGTAATTTTACAATGGACCGTTCCCATTTTGACATTTATGTTATTTACATGTTGTTGTTGCTGGTAAATAAGGCCGTAAGGAATATGTTTGTGCATAAGGCTTTCTCCTTACTCAGGGTGGCGTCGCTGTTATTAGAATTACGCATCTCAGGCCGCGCGCCCCTGCAGCGGATTTTATCGGCTCCGTACTCTACAGACGTCCTTTGGAAGCTATGCAGTTTAATACTTTCTTATAACTAACTTTTTGTTATGCGGTGATCACCAACCCCTTAGCATTAAATCCTGAGCCAATTTTTTTTTTTTTTGGCACGTCTTTCTTGACAGCTAGCATTTTGATTTAGCTGTTAAGTATTTTTTGAAAAAAACCATTATATTTTTCGAAATTGAATAGAATTTCATTTTTCTTATGTTTCGCTTGATTATTGCTCTTGTAAGCTGCCTGTACGATTTGTGGCTGTCACAGAGAAACAAGTAGCCCTCATGACGGTGCTTTGTGAAAATGCGCATCCTCGCGGGCACTGAGTAAGCCCGCCCAGCTCCAGGCGGAAACAGCGGAGCGCAGGAGTTTGTAACCTCGGTGTCAGGAGGGAATGACAGCCTTCTCCCCCACCCGCTCTCCCCTCGGCCCTGAACGCTCTTCACCAGTTCCTAAAGCCGACGGTGTCTCGACACCTTATTTTTATATCTTTATGTACAACCATAATTTTAAACCTTTATAGTGAAGACCTAGTTCTTGTATGTAGGTCCCTGAGACGTGTCTCTCTCCCAGGGTGTTGTGAATTGCTTTTATCTGCGGTCTTGTTTGCTCCTTTTGATCGGGTAAGGTTCAGTGCTGTGCAGCACATAGGTAGTCTGAACAAAACTTTTTGTAAGAGAAAAAAGGATTCATATGAGCCATGTAGATGATAAAATTGTGACAGATATATTAGATATATTTTATTCCTTTTGTAAAGTTAACGGTTTTATTATTTACTTCAAGGTATATCTTCATGAATAATTTAAATGACCCTCCAAATTGGAATATCCGGCCTAATTCGAGGGCCGATGGGGGTGATGGAAGCAGATGGAATTATGCCCTGTTGGTTCCCATGCTGGGATTGGCTGCTTTTCGTAAGTCACAGTTTTCCTAACAGTTGTTATTTTCTGGGGTGATGGTGTGGGGCCCAAAGACCTCGGGCTTTGAGACCTGACAGGTGCAAGTGTATTCCTAGTTTCATCTCAAGTGGCGTGTCTTGGGCGAATTACTTAACCCTCTGAGCCTCAGTTTCCCTGTCCATAGGAGGTAGCAAATCAGAATTACATCAATGCGTCGTGAGGGTTAATTAAGACAAAATACGCAGAAGCATTTTGTGTGGAATGGGTTTTAATAACTCTGTCATCTCGGGTTCCCTCGCTTCCGTCGCCTTCAAAGATCGAGGGGCTAAAACGGGCCTGAGAGGGAACCACTCTGGGCATCTGCATAACGTCTGGGAATTGGTCTTAGGGAGACTCAGTTTGGGGAACCCGCTTGGCCTGGCCAGATTGCCTCCTGTTTGCATGGGGAAATTACCAGTCACCAGTCGATTGTAACTGTTCCAGCCCTTAGCTTACGTCCCCCACTACATGATAAATTTTCTGAGGTTCAGGAGTTGGTTTACTATTTTGTCATATTCCTTGGCTCTGGGTTGGCACTTAAAAATGTGAGAAACTGAATAACTGAATGGAAGAAAAGCAACCACTGCTCTCCACTTGGAGTGACACTTTTTCCATGCCTAGGTTTCTTGGGTCAACAAGTTTGCGTGGAGGTCGACAAGAGTGGCCTTATCAACCCCGTTTATCCACTTTTACAGTATGCCAGGGGGTCAGTTAACACCCTGGTGTTGCAATATAATTTCTCAACCATGTAATTATACATTTTTTATAAGAATGCAGTTAAAAGGCTTCTCTGATCATATTACTTAACAGGACAACTAAGAAGAAAAAATATCCCTCAACCCTTCTGAGGGACAGAAAGCATCATTTTAAAAGTCCAAAGGCAAGAGCTTCAAAGTAATGGTTATTATGAGAGGCTGTAAAAGCTGGAGATGAGTCTGAAAAACAAAACAAAACAGAAAAGCGAAAGTCACTTCCCTGCTTCTCCCAGCGTCAAATTAATAGCTATGACACTAGTAAGTAGAATTTTAAGCCTTTTGAGTCACTCACCAAGTTCATTGCTGTAGCCACAGGCAACAGGTAGCCTTTCCAAGTGTCAAGTAGAGTTTTGGCAAGACGACAGGCTCGTGAGCTTCTAAATGGCATCGCCGGAGGCCTGCATCTGGGTCTGCCAGTCTCACCGACAAGCAGGTTCTACGCACATCACTGAGTCACAGAAACCACTGACTCTGTCAGCCTCCAGGGGAGTCAATGTTTAGTTTCTTAGGAAAGTGCCAAAACATTTCCCCAAGTGGCTGTACCATTCTGTGTTCTCGGCGGCAGTGTCTAAGTGACCCAGGGCCAGCCCTTGGTGTGGTCAGGCTGGGTTCCGCTTTGCATTTCTGCGGGTGCGCAGCGGTAGCCGCTGTGGCTCAGTCTGCCTTTCCCTTGTGGCTAATGGTGTTGGCCATTTTTTCGCTTACTCTCCACCGTCAGTGTATATCCTCTTCCATGAAACGTCTCTTCCCGTCCGCTGTTTTCTTATTGGATAGTTTTGTGATGCTGAATTTTGGGTTTTCACTGTATTCTAAATTCTGGTACTGTATTGGAGATCTGGTTTGCAGACATCTTCTCTCAGTAGTTTGTCTGTTCATCCTCTTAATGGAGCCTTTCACAGAGCAAAAGTTTTGATTTTGACAAAGTCCAGTTTATCAACTTTTCCTTCGATGAGTCATACTTTCCTGCCAAGTCTGAGAACTCTTTGCCCAGCCCCAGATCCTGAAGATAACGATGTTATTTCCTAAAGTTTTAGTTTTACGCTTTACAAAAAAGTCAGTGATCCCTTTGACTTGATTTTTGTGTGAGGCCTGAGACTTGGGTTTTATTTTTTCCCTTCCAGTCTGTTTGCCTTTGGTCCCTTTTCTTGCTTTTTTGCACTGGCCAAAACTTCCAGGACTCTGTTGAGTAGCTCCTGATCGTCAAGGAGAAGCATGCAGTCTTCACGAAGCACAGCGGTAGCTATATGTAGGTTTTTCATAGATGCTTGTTAACAAGGCAGGGAAGTCCCTCGTTCCTGTTTCTCTGGGTCTTTGTCACGAACTGGGTGTTGGGTTTTGTTTGTCCACTGTTTTTCTGCCTCAGTTGTCATGGTCGTGTGTTCTTCCTTAGCCTGCAAACACGTTTGGATTACACTGATTGCCTTTTGAATGCCGGTCTTACGTGGTGGGCATAGTCCCCACTTGGTCGTGCTGTTTCATTCTGTTTACATGCTGTAGAATTATCTCTGCTGATGTTTTGTTGAGGACTTTTATCTCTGCATTCGTAAGGGACACATCGAGAATTTCAGCCTTTCCCGGGTTCTCTTCTCCACACCTATTTTGGCATCTTGTTTTTTTACGCTGGTCATTGTATTTTTCAGTTCTAAAATTTCCATTTTTTTGATCTTCTGTTTCTTTGTTGAAACTTTCTATTTCTTTGCTTAGACTTTCTGTTACGATGACTGCCTTGAACTCTGTCCGATAACACTAACATCTCTGTCACCTCCGCATTGGCATCTACTGATTATCTTTTTTTAAATCAGTTTGAGATGTTCCCAATTCTTGGTTATGAAGAGTGGTTTCGTATTGAAACCTGAGCATTTTGGGTTTTATGTTACAAGAGTGGTTTTTATTCAGACCGTTTTTGGCCAGCTTCTTGGACAGGAGAAGGGCAGCGCTGCTCCTCACTCCCAGGTGGGGGTGGGAGTCCCCGTTTGGCCTCCAGACGTCGACACCATGTCTTGAGGTTGAACTTCCCGCTCCTACTTTTATGTCTCCCTAACATAACATAACCCAACATCCGGGACTTCAGCTGTTTACTAGTGACGATCGGAAAGTAGAACACACTTTGAAATTGACTGAGTTCTGTAGCCTGGCCAACAGCGTCTGAGGCATAGCCATGTTAATTCTTTCAACAAATCACCCATATTAGTTTGCAGACCTCGCCAGTAGTCCTGGGGCGCACTGCAGCCAGCGTAGGTTCGAGGGCAGGAGAAAGCAGTAGGATTTTCTTAGCTGTAGGAGATAGTGGACCGGAAGGGGCCGTCCCTCCAGTTCTTTGTCACACTGTCTTTTGGGAGCCCTTATCTGATTTAGGACTTTGCATATGTTACATAGTTTCATACAAAATGTTATCTTTCTTGTACCTCTCAAGACTTAAGATTCTATTGAAATGCTGTCCTTACCTGCTTTATGTTTTCTTTAAAGACGATTGAACTTCAGTTCTGGCTTTTCACTGTGTGTTTTTCTCCCCCAATATGTGCGTGTCAGGCTGGATTTGGTCTAGGGAGTCCCAGAAAGAAATAGAGAAAGAGAGAGAAGCATACCGCCAGAGAACAGCAGCTTTCCAGCGGGATCTCGAAGCCAAGTACCATGCCACGATCTCAGAAGGTCGGCGTGCCATGGCTCAGTTGTCGTTGGAACTGGAAAAGGAGCAAAACAGGACGACGAGTTACCGAAAAGCCCTTATCTCTCAGGGTCGCAAGTTGGCAGAAGAGAGGAAGCTTCTGGAGCAGGAGCGGGCTCAGGCCATGCAGGAAAGGGGACAGGTGCAGCCGTTGAGGAGTGCGTACCTGAGCTGCCTGGAGGAGGAGGAGGGCTGGCAGGGCCGAGCGGG